GTTATTAAATCATGGAGTCTGTTTCTTCTGTCCAAAGCCTTTATACTAATCAGTTCAGTGACTATTTATGCATGATGAACCAACTCTCCAGGTTTTCATGAACGGTAGTTAATTAGCTTGGGGGTGGGATGGGTCTGGGAGCACTTCTAACAGGCAACTGAAGACTTTCAGGTCTTGTTTGATTTGGGTGTGGGCCTCAACAAAGTACCAGAATGGTCCATAAGGAAGCTCATAGTTTCATATAGAGACTGTCCTGTAGTTCTTGGGTCCAGCCCAGAGGAATAGACCCAGATTAGAGTGGGCCAGTGAAGGTAGTCATCCACCTGGTTGAATCCACCCTGTACTAGGGATGGCTCTATCTGGAGCCCTGTTTTAGTAGGGTTTTCTAGAGAAACAGAACCAGTAATATGTGTATCTATACCTGTATATCTATATCTATCTATCTATCTATCTATAGTTGTTGTTGTTAGATGCTGTTGAGTTGATTTTGACTCCTAGGACCCCATGTGGCAGAGTAGAACTGCCACTGTAGTGTTTTCTAGGCTGTACTCTTTACAGGAGCCAATTGCCAGGTCTTTCTCCCAAGGAACTGCTGGGTGGGTTCAAACCCTAAAGTAAATCTCTCTCTCTTTCTCTCTCTCTCTCTCTTTCTGTATACATATACTTGACTAGTTGCTGTTCCATAATGTAATCGATCAGCCAAAAGGGGAGTTTCCTTAGTGTGTGATCTGCCTCGAGACTATAAATAGATATTTTGGCAGAACTCGCTTTCTCTTTTGACGCTGTGTTCTTCCAGTCGCCTGACCTATGATTCTTGGGACAAAAGCCTGCAGAAGTTTCCATCCTGACCTACGGATTTTGGACTTGCCGGCCTCCACAACTGCATGAGCCAACCCTTAAAGTAAATCTCTCTGTTTTTCTCTCTCTATGTACATATTCCATAGATTTTCAGTCTCTCTCCAGCACTCATATGAGCATTGTTCGCCTCATATCTTGTCATTATTCCCTAAACAATACAATATGACAACTATTTACATAGCATGTATATTGTATTAGATATTGTAAGTAATCTAGAAATGATTTAAAGTATACTACGGGAGTATTGCATAGGTTATATGCAAATACTATGCCATTTGCTATTAGGGACTTGAGCATCCTTGGATTTTGGTATCCAAGGGGTCCTAAAACCAATCCCTCATGGATACAGAAAGAGAGATAGATTTATTTCAAGGGATTGACTCATGCAATTGTAGGGGCTGACAAGTCCAAAATCCATAGTTCAGGATGGAAAGTTCCACAGGCTTTTGTCCCAAGAATCATAGGTCAGACAACTGGAAGAATGCATAATCAAAAGAGAAAGTGAGTTCTGCCAAAATATCTATTAATAGTCTTGAGGTAGACCACGCACTAAGGAAACTCCTCTTTTGACTGATTGATTACATTAGATTACACTATGGAACAGCAACTAGTCGAATATTTGTCCAAACCACTGGAAATCATAGCCTAGCCAAGGTGACACATAAAATTAACCATAATAGGCCCTGAAGAAATGGGGTAAGAGAAAGGGATTTATATCCTTTAGAAATTCAAATTAAACTGGAGTCCCTCTAGATCTGATTATCTCTTTTTCCTTCTCCAGTTATTTTGGAACAAGCTCTCCCCTCTAGAAGCCATAGCTCAGATGGGTCACTCAGGGGCTATGTTGGGTCTCAGAAGCCCTTGAAGCTACAGTCCTGGGCATCTACTACAGCACCTTGATTGTTGTCATATGACCAATTATCCTAACAGGTCAGAGGCCTGGAGAGACTATGTCACCCTCTGCCCTTCATCCACAGGCATCAAACCAAGATAGAAACCCTGGTCAAGAAATCATCCAGTGTGACTGCAGCCTTGCAGAATATCTCATGAAAGGAAGAAGCTTTTTTTTTGTTGTTGAAAATTTATTCATTTTGCATTAGAAATAAAAGCATCTTTGCAATTGTATTGTCTTAGGAAGCAGAAAGCTACTAGAAATAGAATTTTAAACAGATATTGGTCTTTGCTAATATATTTTAAATTTTTCTCCAAGGGCTGCTTGTCCCAACAATAACTTCTGTCCTGGAGTTCTCCCCTTCAGGTTCTTTCAGTGAAAGGCATGGCAGTGATAGTGTTTAGAGCAGAGGATTAGCCCAGAGGATAAGTTGGCCTCTGCCAAGTTCCTGTTGAATGCCTGAGGTACTGACCTTGAGCTCATCTCCCTTGGATTCTCTGGGACTAGCGCCACTGCAGTTGGCCCTAAACCCATTGAGCCCCCAGCCATGCCAATCTCTCCTTCTTTTTCCAGCAAGGATTGAAAATAGTGCATCATGCAGAGAAGACATTGTCCAGCTTCTGCAAGTGGCAGAAGAGCATCAACCCCAAGAGTGATCTCAACCCCGTCCATCACGATGTGGCTGTCCTTCTCACCAGGTACCCCAGAGGGCCTAGAACCGGAGAAGAGGGGGGAGTAAGGGGAGAGGGCTGGCGGGTGAAAGTCTTGCTAGATGTCTTAGTTATTTAGTGTTGCTGTAACATAAATACTACAAGTATGTAGCTTTAAAGAAGAGAAATTTATTTTCTCACAGTTCAGGACTCTAGAAGTCTGAATTCAGGGCACCAGCTTTGGGAGAAAGCTCTCTCTCTGTTGGCCCTTGGGGAGGATCCTTGTCTCTTTCAGCTTCTGTTACTCCATCATTTCTCAGTTCCACATGGCATCTCTTTTTGTAACTCAGAAGTGATTAGGTTTAGGACACACCCTACACTGATATGGTCTCATTAACATAACAAAGAAAACCTTATTCCCAAATGGGATTAGATCCACAGGTATAGGGGTTAGGGTTCCAACACATATTCTGAGGGGACACAATTCGATCCATAATATGGGTATACAAACTCATGTGATTCCCACTACTCTTTCCTACTCTTGGTCATTTTTAAAGGCAGCTTCTACCATCTAGTCCACTCCTGACTTCCAGACCTGTGGAGGGGCAGGTTAACAGAC